AACTTAACTCTGATTATAATAATTTTAAAAACTAATTTCTAATAACTGATTTCTTTCATCTTTGCCAAGATGACAGCACATAATATTAGACTATTTTTAAAATACAAGCATTCAGATTCAAAGTGCGATTCAAAGACTGAATTAGAGTAATTAGGCAAGTCATTGTATAACAGTAGTTTCTTCTGCAGGCAATCAAAAATATATATTGCTTAAGGGGGCTAATAATATTGACCTAAAAATGGGTTTCAAAATATTTAAAACTGATTTTATTCTAGCCTAAATAAAAAAAACAAATAAGCTTTTCTTTAGGAAAAAAAATATTATAGGAAATACTGTTAAAATTCCTTGCTCTGTTAAACATGATTTGGGAAATAGTTATTTAAAAAAAATTCTCAGGAGCGCTAATGATTTTGACTTTAATTGATAATCGTTTTTAATAATCGTGATTACAATTATGACCAAAATAATCGTTATTATGATTTTTTCCAAAATCAAGCAGCCCTAGCATGGAGTATGCGGAGAAACTGGGAAACACAACTCAGTAATGACAAGTACATCTTAATAAATTAGGTACAGCCTTAATTTTTTAAAGTTGAATCAAATCAACTTTATAAAACATTTAAAATTATATATTATAATTTTTAAAGAGGTATTTTTATTTAGTTTATTGTTTAGAACTATTTCCTAGATATACCACGCAGCTGACAGCCCTTTCAATTAGTTGAGTATAAAGCTGTGAGATGCGTATCACTTTTTGGCACCAGAAGCTGAACTACAGCTAAGGCGCAACCATTGTGGCTAAGGAACATAGCATTTCTGTTTCCCCCCTCGGGGAATGTGGATTACGTAGTAAATGTTTTTTTTTCCCAGTGGTAATGGAACTCCAATGCTATGGGGAAAACTTCCACTATAAGGAAATGTATGGAAAACGCCACAGTGGTTGAACCTTGCACCTTTGCCAGGCTCCAGCAGGAGCGCAACATCACCATCGACGCAGCCCTCCAACGTGGAAGCATATGGGATCAACAACGAGGATCGGGCATGGCAGGCACAGTACCCTAGAATGTGGACTGGCCAAGCAGGCATGCCAATAACGTAATGGGCCAGGTGCCCGACTCCTCCACTGAGTCAGATGCTGTGGGCCTTAGAGGAACTCTGTAGAGTTCGCCAAATGGGCACAAGTAATCTCCGTGTTTGACAAAAAGGCGCAGCAAGCGTGTTTCAACAGCAAACAGACTTTCCTTATTCACTGGGGTTATCCAGAACACGTAAGAAAACCGGCTCCACTCGAAGATTATAAAATCTCAAAATTGTATTAAGTGTTGCCCAGCCCGCAGCTCTACAGATGTCTATTAGAGAGGTGCCTGGGAGACGCGGCTCACCCTGGCACTGATAAGATAGGAAGATGGCATCCACTATCCAGTGGACCAACCTCTGTTTGGATTTGGCACTTCCCGTCTGCCAAACATAACAAAGAAGAAGCAGCTTAGAGTGGAATCCTCTAAGTGCAGTCACTTAAGTGCAGTGTGCGAACAGAACACAGCAATGAAAAGTGGCTGGGTCTGCCTCCTCCATAGGTAGTGCTTGCAGGTTCCGAAAGTGCGTGGAAATGCGCCCAAAACAGCTCGCTACGCTGAGGTGTAGTCTCCATTTTCCTTAGAGTGCGAGCTGCCATGAGAGAATGAACAGCATGCGGCAGATTTTACCATATGGTTGATATACACTTCCGCAGCTGTGCTAACCAGCACATGTTTTCCCCCTCCTCCACCAGTCAAAACCAGCAGAGAGCAAGAAACCCTGCCAACAGCTCCCGGCAATTGATGTCAATGCAACTTGGTTGCTGCATGCTTGTTAACACATCCAGGGACTGAAGGTGTGGCGACACAGCGTGGTGATGGCCACTGACCATCTGGGGACCTAATTGTGAAGCCAGTGCTGAAGTAGTCTCATATGAACAATCTGAGTGGCGCGAAGCAGTTGCCGATGTCATATGCCCCAGGAGTCTCTGAAAACTTCAGTGTGACCACTGTGTTCTAGCCGACAGAATTAGACTTGGTTTTTAAAAGGTGCACTGTCTAACAGTTGTACCCAGCTCCCAACGCTAGAAAAAAGGAGCTTCGCCCAGGGGAGAGCTTCCTTTTTTTGATTGACCTGATACTCCAACAGGTCAAGGTGCTGGAGTACCAGGTTCCCCTGCATTATCTACAAACACTCCAGACTGTGCTAAAAATGAACAGCCAAAAATGCAGATGCCCGAAGCCGAAGAGGCATAGGGCAATTTTTGCGAGCTTCGTAAAATCTCCGGGAACAGGGATGCAATGACCTTGTGCGGCCCCCAAATGCACAGCCGAGAAACAGTATGTGCGGGTGGAAGCGTGACATGAAAGTGAGGGTTCTTTAGGTCGATAGCTGTAACCAATGCTTTTCAGATGAGCATTTTGACCAGCATTCCATGGAGATAACTGTTCAAAGATGCACAGATAGGATTGGTTATAACCCAGTGTTGTTATGGGTACAATGGAGTGCGGGCTGTAAAACCTGTTCTCCATCTCGGCTGGAGGGACCGGCTTGATTGCATCCTTCACCAGGAGGTGCACAATCTCTTTGCATGAGCCAGGGGTGGAGGAGCATTGGCCCCCATGAAATACACACCCGTGAGCTTGGGGTGGGGGGGGAGGGGGGCATGTGACAAATTATATGACAAAGCCAAGTCTGACCGTCCGAAGAGCCACTACAGCGCTAACCAGGCTGCCTGAGCCCAAACAAATGATGCAACCAATGCTATCGCAGACACAAACCTCGGTGGGGCAGCTTCGGGATGGGGAGTGCTCATCTCAAGAAGCGGCATGTCCAGAGGAAAAGCTGAAATAAAAACGATTGACTCTTACCTTCTTCCCACAATCTCACGATGGGGCTGGTTGTGCGAGAGAAAGGAGCCCATTCTCTGGCACTCACGAAGCTGGTGGCGAAGTGTACCAAAGCTGCGAGCTGGAAGTCAGCACCTCCCATGCTGGCAGCGTTGGGCTTTCACACCTGAAGACTGGAGAAACCGCTCTTTTTTTGTGAGACCGCCTCAGAGTTGCTTCTCTGTTTACCATAACAGCACCCTGAGGTAGGACATGGACTGCCTGCGGTGGAGCAGATCTTGAAGACGCGGAAAGGAAGCTTTGGCAAGGAGCAACGATGTGCTCTGCGGGGGAGCAGTCTTCTCGAGGAGCATGTGCCTCATCACGTTCAGCTGTTCCATCACCGCTGAGGATTTCTGGGTAAAAATCCCAGACAGTGTCACTGAATAGGCCTGCCTGGGATATGGGCATGTTGAGTGTACATATTCACTAGGGTGGCATTTCTGGACTACAAAGTGGCCATAACCTTTCCCAGGGCACAGGTGAACGACTTGAATCATGAGAGCATAGTCAGTCACCGTGCAGAGCTTGTGCATCCAGCCTGGGGAAGAACCGCCCTTGTGCAGCACGGCTCATAGCATGGTGCAGGGCAAAAGTGGCATGGTCCACAGTGGTGGGGGCTCTGGTCATGAGACACAGATAAGCCACATGAGGGACAGGGGTCTCGGCTTACCCTTCCATGTGGTGTGCACTACCTGGGGAGTAGCCTTGTACCCACCAGCCAGGGTAGTGAGGACGGAAGCGCATGAGGATTGGGTTGGGAAAAATGACCTCGACACCTGTGTCTGCTCACTGTGCGCCCCGAGAATTAGATTTATTTCTCTATATCAGCCCGCGTCACACCCTCTAATCGGTCTAGTGGCAGGACTAGGGGACAAGCCATCTCCAGCCCTACCACTGAAACAGCCTGGGAAAGCACAGCCATTGTGCCTAGTTCGAGATTCGTGACTGTCCTTTGCACCCCAGAGGGCCCAGTCTGTCATTGGAGCATGACGTGTGTGTGGCAATCAGTCTTTGGGATGACGTAATGTTAGAAGTCTGGTGATGATGACCTCTGCTGGCCAGCGAGGGGAATGACTGGGACCGAGTCGTTGACAACATCAGACGCGGAATGTGCGGATAATTCTGATAATCCTGCTATTCGCGTGTCAAATCCGCTTTACAATAGACACGGAATCGCATAATGGGCAGGGCTTCTGTCTGTCTGGTGACTTTAGCTTCATTGCTAAATGGCTAACATTGATTTTATTGAGAAAATAGCTGTGTTTATGTGCTTTATGAAGGTTGAAAACGGCGTCGATACGTTTTTAGCTGTGTCTGATTTTCCACATTCTTTCAGGGGTGCATTTTAGGAGCATGCTGCTGCAGGATTTCAGAAATCATCACTGTGAATGGGCCAAACATTCTAGTGGATTAGATTAGGGGTTTGTACGAATGAAGACTTGTAGGTAGACGGTTGGCCATCTTAGGCATTTTTGACTTAGCACGCCATTTCTGCGTACACAGGTACACAGGCATTTATGCGTTTTGATGGCCTCCCTTCCTCTCAGAATCCAGTATCTTCTTCTCACCTCAGCGGGTACTCTTTCTGGTCCAGGATGTATGAGAGATGTATCATATGTAAAATAACATATTTCATGCTTTGTTTATTCTCCACAAATAAACAGGTAGCACATCATAATAATAATATAGATTAACTTGCACGCATATCCACATTAATAATCTGTGACAAATTATACTGTAGATTAAAGTGCTCGCATATCTACACCATTATTACTGTAGTAAACTAGCTCAAGGTTATTCTTCCCACGCCTTTTCCGCCGTTATAATGTTGTGAGTTATGATATAGATTTCAAGGCTCGTGTACCTTCTGGAACATTATATAGCGGAATAGCTTAGCGGGAGGAAGATTCATTTGAACGGGGCTTCTGAATCGACTCTTTTGATCGAACAAATGAATCGTTCAGCGATGCTATCAACATAAAATTTGAGCAGGGTAGCAAGATCAAAGTTCAAGACATTAGAGTCATTAATATACACAGGCACCTTTCTTTATACAAAATTAAACTTTATTGACTAATTTATCAGAAAGTAACACCTAACACAAACACACATTCATACAAGCATAGGGGAGAGTAACAAACGTGAAGAGGTTGAGAAGATGTAATGATGGGAAAAAACCACTGAGTTTGTAAGAACAAACCAAGCAACCAAAGGTAATCAAATTTAATATAACCCTTCTATTGTCTCTTTAGGGTTGAATTTTAGTTTACACCAGTTAAGATGTTGGGAGAAAGGTGATACTTGCGGTCTGTTCGTAATGTCCGAGCTCCCATTATTGAGCATGTGGTTGATGTTGCTCTTTGTTCCTCACGAGGTTGTAGTTTCAAGTTGAAGCGGCAAAGAGGATTCTGGGCGGTGCAATATCCGAGCGCGGTGCGATATACCCTTTCTGTCTGGATTTCTGCCTGCTTTCTTGGAGGTTTCTGAGTCTCTAAGGAAGTTGTATAGAGTTGAAGAAGGTTTCAAAACAGAGGCCTTTGGAGCAGAGAGGGGGGTTGTTTGGAGTTGGGAGAGAGAGGGGGAGCTCCCAGGCCGCGTGTTTCAGAGAAGAGAGGGTGCGAAGAGAGGTCCCAGGAGAGTTTGAACAGAGAGTGTGCGAAGAGCAGGGCGTAGCTTTTGGTCCTAAGCATATATAGGTGTGATGGGGCGACGTATGGGCTTGGCACTACATTTCCCATAAGTCCGTAGCAGAGCGTAACGTAGCTTAATAGGTGTCAGTACGCGCTATAAATAGACGCACAACAGCATAGCGTGCTTTTGGTTGTCATTCATTGAGGCTACAAACAAGTGGGTATCAAGCAGGTAATTTGTTCTCTAACTATTATAGTAATTGTGACTTTGCTTGTTCATTGTGTCCGGAGAGCGGTTTGTTTATTTGATGTCATCATTTCAAGTTTGATTGCATGCATTTAGAACAATATGTTGTTAGATCAGCTCTGTGTAGCGGAGGATATAAAGTGCCCTCACGCATGGGATTTATTGCGAGGTAGGAAATGCGAGAAGAAAGGCGGGGTAAACAGTTACTTTATTGTGTTGTGTTTCAGAATCCCACCTGTGTTAATGGTGATTGGCCTGGTGACACAGTCGGCAGATTTTAACTGATATGCTACTTGTGTGAATTACATTCAAAAGGTAAAAGGAACTTAAAATGCTACTTTGATATTTACTATTACATAATGTGATTATTTAAATAAAATTGTTTTATAGGTTCTCTAAGAAGAAACTCTGGGTTGGGTTTTAATTCCTTTCGGTTAGGTCCAGTTATGTAAGGTATTTGAATTTTATCCAAAGCTATTTTAATGCAGATTTAATATTTACAAATATTTATTAAGTCGTTTTTGTGTTACAGGACTAGCACGACTATTGTTACCATTTTTGTTTGTTGATTTAGGTGAAAGGCCCTGTTTGTTGTGTGCTGTGTACGAATATTATTGTAACTTTTTCTTTGGTTTGTTTTGTTACTCTTGTGTGTTAAAGGGCAGCCGCTCGTCTCCTCCGTGGGTGTGACTGGCACTGGTGAGGTGGTGGGACCCTTTAATGGTTTGTGGTGATTTGTGTATATTTTTGGAGTGCTGTGGTTGCTGTAGTGTGATTGCTGTGCTACTGGGAGTTAAGAGCTTCTCATCTGTTGCATCTTCTCACACTTCGTCCTGCCCCGTTGTAGGCCTGAGGTTTGCCCTGAATGTTTTGTTATTTTGTGTTGCTTACTTTAACATTCTCTTTTTTTTTAAATTGAAATTGCCCCATTTATGCAATGTTTTAACGAGTAACTGGTTTTGTACTTTATAATAAAAACTGTTTGAATGAGTCCTAGAGTTCTGATGAAGTTTTGTGGCTATTATTCACTCATCATTATCTGATAGGTTACAATTTGGCGTAGTCGGCAGGGTCATTAAAAAATATATATACATTTATAATTTTTATATACCTTTTTTTTTTTTTCTCTTTTTTTTTTTTTTTTGGGGCTTCACCATTTATTGTTGGTAAGTAATAGGTAAATGTACTGGTAACAATAGTCGTGCAAGAAGACTGCTGTTTTGATCTCCCTAGAAGTCAATCCTACATTGTTGGCTTGCTGTGACTTCTGCTTGAGTTTGTTCCAGAATATCTGAAGATCTGCAGCAAGAATTAATGGACCTGCGCGAACAGCTGCGTAGTATGAAGGCATTGAATGATCAGCTAAGAAGTCAAGCCTCACCAAGTGGACATTCGATCAATCCATCGTCCTCCATTAATTCTAATACTCCTCCATTCTCTTTTAACAGGGTGCTGTATGTTCCTAGAGAGCGAAAATGCCCACGTTTTTATGGACAATCTGATCCTTCAGCTGTGAGTCTGGAGGAGTGGATTGAGGAGGCCACTATGTGTATTGAGGGGAGAGGTTGGTCTGAGACGGAGCAAACATTGTTTTTACTGGATCATTTGGGAGGGGAAGCACGGATGGAGATAAAGCTACGTCCTGCTGCTGAGAGGGAAAAACCTGAACTGATTTTTAATATTTTAAAGAATATGTATCGGGGTAAACTGACTTTCGTGCAGCTCCAGCAAAATTTTTTTGAGAGGAAACAGCAGGAGGGAGAATCCTTAATGGATTTCTCCCATTCATTAATGTCTTTAATGGAGGCAGTGCGGAGTAGTAATCCATTAGGTGTTCCTAATGCTGATCAAGTATTACGAGATCAGTTTGTAGAGCATGTTAGCGATGTAACATTGCGACGTGAACTCAAGCGATTTGTGAGACAAAAGCCTTCTTGTTCTCTCATAGATGTTAGGGGTGAAGCAATTCGGTGGGTGGAGGAAGGAGAAATGGGGTCCACTACACCAATGTTACAACCATGGTGTAATCGAACACAAGGTAGGGTAGTCCAGTTTGAAACAAAACCCAGGTTGGATAAGTTATCCGAGTTCAGTGAAATTAAAGACATGCTTAGAAGTCAACAAGAGCAAATAGACGTTATTACCAAGTGTCTTAATGAACTTAAGCCTATATCTGAACATGTCAATACCACTTCCCCTAAACCCAATTCTCGAAGGTGCTTGCGCTGTAATAAGCTCGGCCATATTGCCCGATATTGTCGACAGCCTTGGACGGTTGACGCTAGACCTAGGTCACCGACGGTTAATGTGGTTGAGACCCCTTTGGAAGAGCCTTTAAACTAGTACCCTCTGCTGTCATGAGCCAGACAACAGAAATGGGTAGTGATGGCTCAAAGCTATCTATTCCAGTGTGCCCTTCTGTTTTACAACGTATGGTTGGGCAGTGTCCACGCGTGACTGTTCAGATGGGGAAGGTTACTGTTCCTTGTCTTCTGGATACTGGTTCCATGGTGACTACCATAACTGAATCTTTCTTTCTTAGCCATTTTAAACTGTTGGGTGAAGAAACCCTTAAAGAATGTAGTTGGCTCCAGTTGAAGGCTGCAAATGGGTTAGAAATCCCATATGTAGGATACTTTGAGACTGACATGTTGGTGTTGGGACAAACTATCCCAAGAAGAGGCGTTCTGGTAGTTAAAGATCCAGTTGAAACTTCATTGCATCAAGGAAGGGCATCTACACCTGGTCTGCTGGGTATGAATGTTATTGGCCAATGCTACAGTGATTTGTTCGAACAGTATGGCCCAGGATTATTTTCAGCATCTTTAGTTCAACAGGCAGAACCAGGATGGAAAAATGCCCTTCTGCAATGCCAGAGAGTCGAGAATGCCTCTACAGCTGACTCTATTGGTCATGTGCGAGTGCAGTCGGAATATCCAGTGCAGATTCCAGCAGGCACATTAAGGTTAGTACCAGCACTTTGCCCAAAAGGGTTTGGTTATGATAATACAGTTGCATTATTGGAACCACAGGAATCAGGATGTAATGGTTTACCTTCAGGAGTTTTGATTTCCCCTTCCCTGCTCCGTTTATGCCAAGGCATGGTGTTCGTTCCAGTAGTGAATGTTAGTACAATTCCTGTTAGCCTACCACAACGAGCTAGATTGGGAACATTAGTAAGAGCTGAAATGATCCCCTTAAAACCTCAGGGTTTTTCATTTGAAAGGGTGGAGAACACTTTCACCGTTTTGGTTCAGGCTCAGCAAAGTATATCCACAATAGAACTTGATACTAACTTAGAATTACAAGGGCTTGCTGAATCAGAACAAAGACGGGTAAGAGACCTCTTAGGCAAATATAGTGACATTTTTGCAAAAACTGATGGGGATTTGGGATGTACCTCTTTGATCGAACATCAGATCCCCTTATTAGATGACATCCCTGTGCGTCAAAGGTATCGTAGACTTCCCCCAAGTCAGTTGGAGGAGGTTAAAGATCACATTAAGCAGCTGTTGGATGGCCAAGTCATTAGGGAGAGTTGTAGTCCTTACGCTTCACCTATAGTACTGGTTAAGAAGAAGGATGGCTCCTTACGAATGTGTGTTGATTATCGCCAGTTAAACGCCAAGACTCGTAAAGATGCTTTTCCATTACCAAGGATTGAGGAGTCTTTGGATGCGCTGACTGGTGCCAGGTGGTTCTCAACACTTGACTTGGCCAGTGGTTATAATCAGGTTCCGGTAGCAGAAGAAGATAAGTATAAAACTGCCTTCTGCACACCTTTTGGCCTATTTGAGTTTAATAGGATGCCGTTTGGATTATGTAATGCACCAAGCACGTTTCAGCGGCTAATGGAAAGGATTTTTGGTGACCAAAGTTTTCAATCCCTGCTATTATACCTGGACGATGTGATTATTTTTTCTTCCTCCGTAGATCAACATCTGCAGCGCTTGGAATTGGTGTTGAACCGCTTACGACAACAAAATCTAAAGGTTAAACTCAGTAAGTGCCGTTTCTTTTGTCCTAAAGTCCCCTATTTAGGGCATGTCGTCTCTGCTGCAGGTGTGGGAACTGACCCCGATAAGGTGGCAACTGTGGCAAATTGGAAGCGGCCTGAAAATGTCCAGGAGCTTCGGTCATTTTTAGGATTTGCCAGCTATTACAGACGGTTTATTAAGGGATTTTCGGGCATAGCAGGCCCCCTAAATCGACTAGTCGCAGAAGTCTCCTCTAGTAAAAAGGGAAAGTCTTCAAAGATGTGTGTGAAGAAGAGCTGGACAAAAAATTGTGAGAGTGCATTCCAAACACTGAAAGAGTTGTTAATAAGTGCCCCAATCCTGGCCTATGCAGACTTTAGCAAACCTTTCATTTTGGAAGTGGATGCAAGCCATCAAGGGTTGGGAGCAGTTTTGTCTCAAGACCATCAGGGAAAACTTAGGCCTATTGCCTTTGCAAGTCGAGGTCTAAGGCCATCCGAAAGGAATATGCAGAATTACAGTTCAATGAAATTGGAATTTCTGGCTTTAAAATGGGCTGTTGCTGACAAGTTTCGAGATTACTTATTGGGACATAAGTGCATAGTGTACACCGATAACAACCCCCTGAGTCACTATCAGACTGCTAAACTTGGAGCATTGGAACAGTGCTGGGTGGGACAATTAGCAGACTTTGATTTGGACGTGAGGTATAAGCCAGGTCGACTTAATGGCAATGCAGACGCACTGTCTAGACAATACACTGAGTCAATGTCTCAGATTTCTGTAACCACATCGATCCCAGAGGCAGTAAGGCATTGTGTCAGTGAGGAAAATCCGGCATTAACCGTGAGAACTATTTCTGCCCTTCCTCTTCAGACGAAAACCAGCCTGCGGGAATGGCAAGAAACCGATCCGGTGATTGGTCAATTTCTTAAGTACTGGGATCGTCAGAGGGCTCCAACGCGAAGGGAGAGAAGTTTTGAGTCTTCGGCAGTGATTGAGCTGGTTCGTCAGTGGCAACGGTTAATAAAGGTGGAGGGTATCTTGTATAGAAGGTATCAAGCTCAAGATGGATTTAAAGAGTTTCGTCAAGTGGTGTTACCTCAGGCTCTACGAGATGAAGTCTTAAGTAGTCTGCATGACAATCATGGCCATCAGGGTGTGGAACGGACGGCCAGTTTGGTTCGAACACGTTGTTACTGGCCTGGTATGTACAAGTTCATTGAAAATTGGTGTAAGCAGTGTCAAAGATGTAATTTGGCAAAGGATGTGCGACCAAAAGTTAGAAGCTTTATGGGTCATCTTAAAGCAGAAAGACCATTGGATATTTTGGCCATCGACTTCACACTTTTAGAACCCTCATCTAATGGAACCGAAAATGTTCTAGTCATGACGGACGTCTTTTCAAAATTCACTCAAGCGATACCAACCAAAGATCAAACAGCACAGACTGTGGCACGGATATTAGTGGAGCGTTGGTTTTATTTATTTGGCCTGCCAAGGCAAATCCATTCAGACCAAGGGCGATGCTTCGAGAGTAGAGTCATCCAGGAACTGTGTGAAATATATGGAATTGCGAAAACCCACACAACTCCTTATAGACCTCAAGGAAATGGTCAATGTGAGCGGTTTAACAGGACAATGCATGATTTACTGCGCACCCTTCCTGCTGAAAAAAAGTTCCATTGGCCAGATTTTCTTTCACAAGTTGTGTTCGCTTATAATACCACAGAGCATCAGTCCACTGGTTATTCTCCATATGTTTTGATGTTTGGAGAGGACCCACAATTACCAATTGATTTCATCTTGGGCCAGGATGATTTGCATTCTAGTAGAGAACCTTGGATCGTGCAACATCGAGAGAATTTGGAGAAAATTTATAAGTGTGCTAGAGCCCGATTGAAAGCTGCAGCAGAACAACGAGCTCGACCCAATGATGAAAAGGTACGTCACAATTTTCTGCAAGAAGGTCAATTGGTGTATCGGAAGTCACACAAAAGCAAGGGCAGAAATA